CATCAGTGGGATTAGTGACTTGAATCGTGAAAGGAGAGTTATTCTGTCGATTTCACGAATGGCAAATCCTGGCAACATGGGACAAAGGGCACCATGTTTGGTGGACCATCTCCCAAAGGTTTGGACGTGCTCACAACAAATTTAGGGCGTACTATCGACCCCATAAACTAGTTGTCACTTGTCCCATTCGTCCAAGATTCCAACAGAACTTACTGTTATCTGGACGCATGAAAGGGGACAAAACAAAGATTCTTGTCGATACGGGCGCGTTGGTTTCCCTTGTTGATAAAACTTGAGTTACGACACGCAACGTCCTCGTTGTAGGACCGTCTTGTCCCAATCGCTTAGGTGACAATCGTGTCATTCCAAGTAAAGGGCAGACACATATCGACATGGATGTACATGACTACAGTAAAACAGTTCCGTGTACGTCCTGCCACTTTTGTCAGGTGTCGACCTCATCCTTGGCATAGATTGATTACGAGCCAACGAAGTCAAATTGGACGTTCAATACAACATTGTCCGTTCAACAAGAACAGAAAGGCAATCCAGTGGCAAGTCAACGATACTTTGCTCACTGAAACACTAACGCCGGAACGTCCCAGCGCGCTGTGTGTGTTGGCCAACCAGTTCAAGCATTTTGTTAAATCAGCTGATACACTATTCGTGGTACAGCTTGAAAATGTCGAGGTCTTGGAGCCAGCAACTAAGGATTTCCCTCCTCGAATGAAAATACTGGCAGAGGAAGTGTTTGAAGCCATCCTCGATGGACTTCCATCTGACCGCGCAGTGGGCCATACCATCCCTGTTGAACTAGGAAATGTTCCACCCGTTCGACCTCTATATCGCCTCAGTCCAATTGAGTACGAGGAGGCAAAACAACAAATTGAGGAATACCCCAGAAAAGAATGGATTGAACCCAGTGCATCCCCTTACGGAGCACCGATTTTGTTCGTTAACAAGAAGGGCGGAGGATTACGCATGTGCGTAGATTATCGTGCCTTGAACAAGATCACAGTGCCGATACCCTACCACGAATAGAGGATCTGTTCGATCGGCTCCAAGGAGCTCAGTGATTCAGGGGTATCATCAGCTACGCATCACCGAGGAAAGATGTTCCTAAAACGGCTTTACAAACCCCGTTTGGGCATTTTCAGCGGTGTGTGCAAAGTTTTGGCTTGAAAAATGTTCCTGCATTGTTTCAGCGAGCAATGAATGATGTGTTTCAGGAGACAATTGGCCAATTTGCCCTAGTATACTTGGATGATATCATCGTTTACTCAAAGACAGAAGAAGAACACACGCAACACCTGAAATGGGTGTTAGGAAAACTACGAGAGCACAAGTTCTATGCTCGATTGTGGAAGTTTCACTTCTACAAACGCGAGCTAGAATATCTTGGTCACTTGGTAGGCAATGATGGCCTAAAAGTTCATCTAAAGAAAGTGGGAGCAGTCCAACAGTGGCCGCCGGCTGAGCATAAAACTTTCCCCGTCTAAGCAGTGCTATACAACTTCTGAGCAGGAATTGTTGGCAATTGTACATGTGCTACAAACATGAAGATGCTATCTGGAAGGTGTTGACTTTGTGGTCACGACTGACCATTGTCCAAACACCTACTTTTCCCGCCACGCAAGCCACACTCACCCGCCGTCAAGCTCGATGGGCTGAACTTCTTAGTGGGTTTACCCACGATAATCGATATCGAGAGGGCTTGACGAACATGGCTGATCCTTTGAGCAGATAGCCGAATGGTGCACCAACGGGGGTTGACCATAGTGAACACGAAGATGTTTTGCTGCTTCGAGTTCGTGTCCATGCCGGCCTTTGCCAACCGCCGCACGGAAATCAGGTTCGCAGCAAGGCTGGGCACCCAAAGCACGTTCTTGAGGCCCACCATCTTTCCATCAGCACCCTTGAACATGGCCTTGCCCATGCCTTTCACCTCTGCTCGCTGCCCCAAAGCCGATGTGACATGCTTCACCGGTGACGGCTCGAGTTCGGTGAGCAAGTCGGGGCGAGGTGTCATGCTATAGGTAGCGCCGCTATCAATCACCCAAAAGTCCTAGGGTCACCTTCCCCACAGCTGCTGGCTCCTCAAGGTCTTCATCCTTCTCTGGACCAGCTGGTACTTGCGTCGACACGAAGTAGAATAGGCCCGGGTACTGAGTGTCGCTCGGGTCCTTATCGTTGTCTTCGTCCTTCATGTTCGCGGCTCCACCTCCGCGACCGCCACGGCCTCCACGGCCTCTGCCTCTCCCTCCTCCTGCTCCTCCATCCTCAGCAGGGGTCCATCCTTCAGGGAGTTTGAAGCAATCGCGCCACATATGTCCGCTCTTGCCGCAATAGTGACACTCGCCATCGAATCGGCCGCGACCGCGCCCGTAGCTCTTGTCGTCGCTGCCGTATCCGCCACTCCCCCAGCCTCCGCCGAAGTTGCTGCCACCAAATCTTCCTCCCCCTCGTCCTCTGCCTCTTCCTCGGCCATATCCACGGCCGACGCTCGCTGCACCAGCGCCATCCGCACTCGCCAACTCACGGCGGCGGAAGTCCTCTTGTAGGATCGCTCGCTTCACGTCTTCAAGCGAGAGGCGATCTACCCCGACTTGCATGCGGAGTTTCACGCCGTGCAGCTGCTGACCTTCATGGTCATCTCGCGGTGCTGCTCGCCGGGCGTGCAGATCGCCTTGAAGTGGTGCAGGGAGCACCTTGACGCCGGGCACCAGGCGTGGCACTTCATCGAGACGACGTACCAGGTCACCGACGACCTGTACATCGGCCAGCTCGAGGAGCAGCTGTCGCACCTGCGGATGGGCGAGCAGGAGACGGCGACCGACTACTGCAACCGAGCTCGGCACCTTCTCGCCATGATGAGGATGGCCGGCGTGAACTACTCTACGGCGTCGTACATCACACATGTGATCAAGGGACTCACCAGCAGCTACAACCTGTTGAAGCGGCTATCAGCGGCACTGAGCACGAGGGCGACGCTCAACGAGGATTCCCTTACCTCGTACATCCTGCAGGACGAGGCGATGCAGGAGGCCGAGAAGTCCACGGAGCTCCTGCTGCAGGCGAACTACGTCGCCCCGGCGAAGCAAGGTAGCCGACCAGGGCAGCGCGGCAAGCCTGGCAGCGGTGGTAGCGGAGGTGGGAAGCCGGCCAAGGACGCCGACAAGGGCAAGTCGGCGAAGGAAGGCGGTCGCGGAGGAGGAAGTCGGCGTCGGGAGTGCTGGATCTGCCGCAGCCCCGACCACCTCTCCTTTGAGTGTCCCGACCGCAGTGAATCCGACGACAACGACGACGCCAAGGGAGGCCGCGGGAGGTCGGCCAGCCGTCGTCCACGTCGAGGAAACCAGCCGCGCAAGGAGAAGCAGTCGAACAAGTCGACCTCGGCGAAGGACGCCGACTCCTCTGCTAGCGGCAAGGGGAGCGACGACAAGTCGGCGTCGTGCTCTCTGGTCGGCGTCGTGGAGCCGACCGTCTCACTGGCGCCGGAGGCCGGTGAGGATTTCCAGGCGATGGCAGCAGCGGTGCAGGCGAACCCGGCGGTGGTCCTGCTTGTTTCAAAGGCCGGCATGGACGCCGAGGGCATGGGGTTGACGGGCAACCTCAAGCACATGGAACGGCGACAGGCTTGGCTGCAGCACATGGTGAAGCAGGGGAAGTTTGCGCTGCAGTACATCCCGACCGCTGAGCAGCCAGCCGACTTCCTGACGAAGGCGCTGCACTACCCGGCCTTCAACCGGTGCTCCGTCGCGATCGGCCAAGTGCGCCTGGCCGAAGTCGGCGACGGCGACAACGACGTGCAGCAGTAGGTGCCATGCCCTCTTGCATGGCTGGTGCGGTGACCGGCGTGCTGTGTGTTGTGTGCACGCCGCCGAGCTGTCTTCCAAGTAGTGCTGCCGTGTGGGCTGGGGACCCAAGCGTGTACGCGGCAGGGGAGTGTCAACGGGAGTGTTGCGTGTTGCACGTCCTGACAAAGCACATGAGGGTGAAGTGGCACTGGACAAGGAGCATGGTGGCCGCGGGTGAAGTTGAGCTGCGCTACGTGAAGACGACGGGGCAACCGGCGGACATGATGACTAAGAGGCTGGTGGAGCAGCAGCATTGGAAGTGTTGCAAGCTGGCTGGGATGGCTCTGAACTAAGGGAGCGAGATCCTAAGGCCAACAACCCGAGGGGGAGTTTGTTGGTGCAACCCTACGGTTTGCACTCGGCTTGTTGTCCGTGTGCGTGTGCGTGCATGCGTGTGTGCATGGAGTGGTATGAGTGCATGAAATAAATATATATTTCATGCTTATAATGGTGTGTGAATGATGGGTCATGATGTCAAGTGTGTGTGTCGAGTCAATAGCGAGTTATCGCTAGCCGCGTATTACGCGGTTATTTTGTGTGTCCCGCGCGGTTTCTATTTTGTCGTGCGCGGTTTCTATTTTGTCGCTTGTCGAACGTTCGGCGTGTCGCAGGTGTGTGCAGCAGGCCCATCAAGAACTCAAGGTTGAGTTTGTGATGAAGAACCCGAGCCTTGGTTTCAAGCTTCAAGTGTTTTGAAGCTCGCCAAAAGGCTACACCTCAAGATAATGTAACATTATAATTTGTAGTGTAACATTTCTATGGGTGTAGGCCCTTGGGGAGGGTAGTTTCGAGACCCTTCTTGGTTGGGGACAGTGTGGCACTGTTCCACATCACTGTACCTCGGCTCTTGGGGTTTGTAGGAGCTGGGAGTCCTTCCCAACTCGCAACTCTTCCTAGCTGTTCGTAATTGTGTTCCTAAGACTATGTTGCTGCTATAGTGCCGTTCGTTCAATCTGACGCTGTGTCGTCAATTCTTGATGAAATCGTGCGATCTAAATTGCTTATTGTAGGCGACGTTAAGACGCTCCAGATCCAAGTTGAATGAGGTCATTTGAAGTTGTGAACAGATCGCTATGAATGTTTAAAGCCGCTGTGCAGAAATCTGACTGCGCACTCTATCTTTGGTTCTAGGCACATTGAAGCCTATTGGAGCCTATTGTGACTATAACATAAACTTGGGGTCCCTGTCTCGGATATAAGGGTTGTCGGGGTCCCGTGCTGTGAGATGATGTGCTTGACGAACAGCTGTGCCGTTTCCTCCGTGCGTGCGGTTGTATGTGTCGGAATGAAGTGTCCCATCTTTGAGAATTTGTCGATGACGACCAGGATGGCGTCATGTCCCGCTTTGGTAGGTGGTAACCCAGTGATGAAGTCCAAGCTGACCACTTGCCAAGGCTGTTCCGGGACGGGCAGAGGCTGAAAAAGTGCTGCTTTCTTCCGCTTACTGCTCTTCATCGGTTGGCACGTGTCGTACGAAGTGACAAACTTCTGCATGTCGTCTGCCATGTGAGGCCAGTAGTAGACTTTCGCAATCCCAGCAAGGGTCTTGTTACTCCCGAAGTGTCCAGCGTAGAGCACATCGTGGAACTCCTCGAGAAGCAACTGCCGAAGAGGTGGGTAGTTGGGTACCCATATCTTTGTTGATCCTTTGCGTAGTGCGATGTCGTGGTCCCACTGCAGCAATTTCTTCTTCTCTGCCAAGGGAATCTCGGGGTCAAAAGAGTACCCGTATGTAAAGAGTCCCTTAAGTGGCGGATTCATCCCCTCAACCTGCATGGCGGCAACGTGTCCAGGCCGGCTCAGTGCGTCTGCCTTATTCTTGTGTCCCGGCTTGTACACGATGTCGTAGTCGAAGTGCGTCTTGAGGAAGTTGATCCACCTGATTGTCATCTGGAGAGAGTAGGCTGCGTCTCTAGGTAGTTCAAACTACAGTGATCGGTGCAGACCACGGTCTTCCTTCCTTCAAGGTAGCATCGCCATGTCTTGAACGGAGTGATGATCGCTAAGGCCTCTTTGTCGTGAATCGGGTAGTTGAGTTCTGCCCCGTGCAATTTTTTACTAAGGGAAGCGATTGGTTGTAGTCCTTCCTTGTCTTGCATCAAGACTGCTCCAACTGCTTGGTCGCTAGCGTCAGCTTTGATAACGAAGTCTTTTTCTGGATCTGGTAGGATCACGACGGGTGTGGGCGTGAGTGCGGTCTTCAACTGCTCCATGGCTTGCTGGTGCACACCCCCCCACCTGTACGGTGTATTCTTCTTCAGAAGGTTGGTGAGAGGTGTTGCAATGTTCGCATACTGTGGCACAAACTGATTGTAGTAGTTCGTGAAGCCAAGGAAATGTTGAAGTTCCTTAACGTTCTCCGGCGTCTTCCACGTACGTACGGCTTCGATCTTCTTCGGGTCGACATGCACTCCTTGAGCGCTCACCAAATGCCCAAGAAATTGAACTTTCTTCAAGGAAAACTCACTCTTGAATAGCTTGACGTAAAACTTCTCCCGTCGAAGTATTTCGAAGACGCGTCGTAGGTGTTTGATATGTTGCTTCATATCCTTCGAGTAGATCAAGATGTCGTCCAGGTACACCACACATTCGTCGAGTAGAGGCTTGAGAATATGGTTCATTTCAACATGAAATGTAGCGGCTGCGTTGGTGAGACCGAACGGCATGACGAGGTACTCGTAGGATCCGTATCGTGTCCGAAACGCCGTCTTGTGGATAAAATTTTCCACCATCCGTATCTGCCCATATCTCGATCTCAAATCAAGTTTTGAGAATATAAAAGCTCCCCGAAGCTGGTCAAGCAGGTCATCGATCCGAGGAATGGGATACTTATTTTTTATCGTCTGCTTGTTGAGAGCTCGGTAGTCGATGCACATGCGTAAGCTTCCGTCAGGTTTTGGCGTGAAGAGCACTGGTGCACCGTATGGTCGAATGAGTCCCTCTTCTAGGAGGTACTCAATCTGCTTCTTCATGTCAGCTAATTCGGTAGGACTGGGTCGATATGGTGCTCGGAAGGTCGGTTTCGAACCAGGTTCTTCGACGATCTCGTGCTGGTGGGTTCGGTATGGCGGCAACTGGTCTGGAAGGTCGTCAGGAAGAACGTCTTTGAACTCCTCCAGAAGTTTCTCGATAGGAGGTGGAAGCTCAGGTGCCTTCTTCTCTGCTTCATCCTCGTCTGTAACCAGTGCGGTGAACCCTGCCATGGTTCTTTGCACGTCCTTCTCAAAGCGTGCGAGAGTCTCCTCCGGAATATCTCCTGTGTTGATCCAACTCGGAAGTGGAACTCTTATGTCTTGATTGTAGATGCTCGCCATGCGGGTGACCCAGTTAATCTCGGAGTTGAACTTCTTGAGAAAGTCTCTCCCAAGAATCAAGTCTAGCCCTTTGATGTTGGTGACAGGTAGGGTCGGTTTCCAGCGAAGAGGACCCATCTGCAGGTGTAACGCTACTTCGCCGTAGACTTGTAACTTGCTTCCGTCAACCATCGTAGCTGTAAAGCTTGAAGGCGTGCACTCCTCATTAATGCGTTCGAAGGTCGCCTTGTCACATACAGAATGGGATGCTCCGCTGTCCACGAGTGCTTGGAGGCGTCGTCCATTGGAGATCACCTCAAGCAAAAATGGTTGACGTTGCTCGCTATACCCGTTGATCGTCTCGCTGATTGAATCATAAGTCATATCCTATAGCTGCGTGTCATCTTCTCGGGTGGTAGATGGCCGGTCCGGCCTTTCCCTATTGTCATGATTTTTTGTTTTCGTCGACGACGTGGCTCTTGAGCTCGTAGTAGAATTCCTTCGTAGGCTAGATGTTACAGATGCATCTGTAGAGGATGTTTGAGGTCGTCGCAGCTTCATGTTGACCTCCAGCTCCCTCTTGAGCTGCTTCAGCGCCACCGACTTCTTCCGTGGGATCGGTTGGTCGACGTCGGCTGGTTATTTTGAGAGAGGACGATGTCGTCGTTGGAAGGTCGATCTTCCACGCCCCGTTGCTGGTTCCTCATGCGCAGCTGCTGCAGTTGTCGTACCGGTACATTATCTCTCTTCAGGAGCCTCTCTCCAAATTTCACCGAGGCCGAAGACCCAGGGGAGTTTTTCCCAAATAAAGTATCCTTGTATGATAATTTTAAGGAGTTCCCACTTTTTACAGGGCCTTTTTGGAGTTGTCCGGGTCCAGCAGGGTCTTGTTTCGCGGAGATTTTTCTACGCATTTTTCCCTGGTCGAGTCCGTTCATGGGTTGAAGAATTCACTCCACGTTCCTCCAATTTTTTTATTGAATCTGCTCCACTACTACGGTCCCGAAGCGCGGCACGTGCGGTTTTCATTTTGTTACAATCGATGAGTCGATGACCCGGGTTGCTGCAGAAAGAACACCGGTCTTGCCTTCGCTTCGATTCGATCGAGTTCCATCGGGTCGGCGTACGTGGGGGTAGCCAAGCGTCCTCCATGTCGTCTAGCTCGTCCATGAAGTCGTCGTGTTCCGATCGTGATTACGTCGAAACGTTCTGCTGCCGTGACAACATCGTTGTAGCTGCTCCAATTTGCGGCTTGTCAAACATTATATATGTTGGGTTTGTTAGGCTACAGTGGGTTAGACTATATGGGGTACACTATTCTAGGGTTTGTATTTGTACTGCCTTCCCTGTTAGTTCAGCCATTCCAGTCCGTTCATTCTGACATGGTATCAGAGCAGGTCCATCGCTAGGACCGCTCTTAGGGCCCACCGCTACCCACCCACCGTGCGCCTCGTGCGCCTACCTACCTACCGTGCGCCTCGTGCGCCTACGCGCCCTCGTGCGCCCTACCCTACGTGCGCCCTCGTGCGCCCTACCCTACGTGCGCCCTCGTGCGCCCTACCCTACGTGCGCCCTCGTGCGCCCTACCCTTTGTAGGCCCCCGAGCCGCTGCTACAGGCCCGTCAGGCCCTCGATCCGCCGCTACAGGCCCGTCAGGCCCCCGAGCCGCCGCTGCAGGCCCGTCAGGCCCCCGAGCCGCCGCTACAGGCCCGTCAGGCCCGAGAGCCGCCCCTGCAGACCCGTCAGGCCCGCGCGCCGCCCCTGCAGGCCCTCGCCGCCCGCCGCGTCGCCCTGTTCGCGGCGTCGTCGCCTGCCCGCGTCGAAGCCGCCTGCCCGCGGCGTCGACCCCTGCCCGCGGCGCCGTCGCCTGCCCGCGGCGTCGTCGCCTGCCCGCGGCGTCGTCGCGGCGTCGCCACCTGCCCGCGGCGTCGTCGCCTGCCCGCGTCGAAGCCGCCTGCCCGCGGCGTCGACCCCTACCCGCGGCGCCGTCGCCTGCCCGCGGCGTCGTCGCCTGCCCGCGGCGTCGTCGCGGCGTCGCCACCTGCCCGCCGCGTCGCCCTGCCCGCGGCGTCGCCACCTGCCCGCCGCGTCGCCCTGCTCGCGGCGTCGCCACCTACACCCCGCTGCGTCGCCCTTCGCGCCGCCTCCCCCTGACCTAACCCTAATCCGCCTCTCGCCCCTGGAGCAGCCGCCACTGCAGCAGCAGCCTGTGGAGTCGCCCGCCACTACAGCAGCCGCCCCTGGAGCCGCCCGCCACTGCAGCAGCCGCCCCTGGAGCCGCCCGCACCTGCAGCAGCCGCCCCTGGAGCAGCTGCCGTCGTGGCCCGGCCTAGCTCTGCAGCAGCTGCCGCGGAGCTCCCTGCTGCGGCCCGGCCCCGCCCTGCAGTTGTAGCGGCCCCGCTGTCGCCACCGTCTTACGCCTGCCGCGCCGACCACTGGTGAGCATTGCCCTGCCCGCACTGCTACTGCTGCTACTGCTGCTACTGCCTTTTCTACTCCCACTGCCGCCACTGCTGCTCCTCCTGACGTGGCCAGATGACGCCACAGGACCGTGCGCGTGAGTCCCTCACGCTCCAGCAGGCTCGTGAGTGGTACGCTAGTTGGGGCTGTCGGGGTAGCCGTGGTGGTAGTCGCTCTGCAGTGGGTCAGTCGGGAGCTTCTGGTAGTGGACAGGTGCAGCAGCCGTGTCCTCCTTCGCCCCAGCAGGCTCGTGAGTGGTACGCTAGTTGGGGCTGTCGGGGTGGCCGTAGTGGTGGTCGCTCTGGAGTGGGTCGGTCGGGAGCTTCTGGTAGTGGACAGGTGCAGCAGCCGTGTCCTCTTTTGCTCCAGCAGGCTCGTGAGTGGTACGCTAGTTGGGGCTGTCGGGGTAGCCGTGGTGGTAGTCGCTCTGCAGTGGGTCAGTCGGGAGCTTCTGGTAGTGGACAGGTGCAGCAGCCGTGTCCTCCTTCGGTCCAGCAGGCGCGTGAGTGGTACGCTAGTTGGGGCTGTCGGGGTGGCCGTAGTGGTGGTCGCTCTGGAGTGGGTCGGTCGGGAGCTTCTGGTAGTGGACAGGTGCAGCTGCCGTGTCCTGTGAGTGAGGCTGCCGCTCTAGGTGCTAAAACGTCTGTTGCCCTAGGTGCTGGTGAGGCTACCACTCCCGGTACTCGCGTGTCTGCTACCCCAGGTGCTGGTGAGCCTCATGCTCTAGGTGCTAGTGAGTCTGTCTCCCCTGGTACTGCTCTAGGTGCTGGTGAGTCGACTGCAGCACTGCACACCTTCACACTGGACTCAGGTGCTTCTCGCTGTTTCTTTCGTGACCGCACTGTCCTTGAGCCACTTGCTCGGCCAGTTGCTGTCTCCCTCGCTGACCCCTCTGGGGGTCCGGTCATTGCGACCTCCTCCACTGTCCTTCCTTGTCCTGCGGTCCCGTCAGGCACGCTGTCCGGTCTCTACCTCCCCTCGTTCTCTACGAACTTGGTGGCAGGTCGTGCGCTCCAGGACGGGCGTGTTCTGGACGGACGGGCGCTCCAGGACGGGCGTGTCCAGGACGGGACGGACGGGCGTAGTTCACCCCTGCCTACGAGCGCGTGACACACTGCACGTGTGCTCGGACGGGTCGCCACCTGGCTACCTTCACTCGAGAGCCGGGGTCGGATCTGTACACACTGACCACTGAGTCCCCTTAGGTAGCTGCGTCTGCGTCTGCGTCAGGTCAGCTGTCCGCCCCCTGCTCGTGTCGCTCTCTGGCACACGACACCGTCCTCTGGCACCACCGACTTGGTCACCCGTCTGTGCAGCGCCTTCGGGCCATGCACAAACGGGACCTTGTTGCTGGTCTTCCCAGGGTTCTCCCTCCCCTCCCACCCTCGCCTGCTCCTCCCTGTCTTCCCTGTGTCGAGGGGCGGCAGCGCGCCGCTCCTCACTCCTCCTCCTTTCCCCCGACAACTGCTCCCTTGCAGACGCTCCACTTGGACGTGTGGGGCCCAGCCCGCATCCGTGGACAGGGTCAGGAGAGGTACTTCCTGATTGTTGTTGACGACTTCTCGCGCTACACCACGGTCTTCCCCTTGCGCGCCAAGGGTGACGTCCCTGATGTCTTGATCCCCTGGATCCGCAGATCTCGTCTCCAGCTCAGCAGGCGTTTTCGCGCCGACTTTCCTGTCCTGCGTCTGCACTCTGATAGAGGTGGGGAGTTTTCCTCCGGCCTCTTGGAGGCCTTCTGTCAGCAGGAGGGCATTGAGCAGTCGTTCACGCTTCCGGCCTCTCCACAGCAGAATGGGGTTGCTGAGCGCCGCATTGGCTTGGTCATGGAGGTCGCTCGTACCTCCTTGGTCCATGCGGCTGCCCCCCATTTTCTGTGGCCGTTTGCAGTCCAATACGCTGCGCATCAGCTCAACCTCTGGCCCCGTGTCTCCTTGCCGGAGACTTCTCCGACACTGCGTTGGACGGGAGAGGCTGGCGATGCGTCGCGTTTTCGGGTCTGGGGATCCCGAGCTTTTGTCCGCGACACGTCCGCGGACAAGCTCTCCCGTCGCGCTGTCCCCTGCGTCTTCCTTGGCTTTGTCCCGGACGCCCCTGGTTGGCAGTTCTACCACCCCACCTCGCGTCGTGTCCTGGCCTCTCAGGACGTCACTTTTGACGAGTCCGTCCCCTACTACCGCCTCTTCCCCTACCGCACTGCCCCGCTCCCCCCCCCGCCTCTCTTCCTCGCTCCAGGTGCTGAGGTACCAGACCCCCTCCCCCCTCAGGGTGCCGCTCCCTCAGGTGTGTCCCAGGTAGACCCGGGTGAGCCTGTCGAGGTAGCTGTTGACTCTCGTCCTGCTGGGGGTGCTGAGCCTGGGGGTGCTGCGTCTAGGGGTGCTGAGCCTGGGGGTGCTGCGTCTGGGGGTGCTGAGCCTGGGAGTGCTGAGTCTGGGGGTGCGGAGCCTGGGGGTGCTGAGCCTGGAGGTGCGGAGCCTGGAGGTGCGGAGCCTGGAGGTGCTGAGCCTGAGCGTGCTCCACCTGGAGGAGCCCTCTCCTCCCAGCAGCTACAGGAGAGGTACCTCGAGTACTGCCGCCTCCGGAGAGGTGCTGCTGGAGCTCGTCCCGGTACTTCCCCTCCTACCCAGGAGCTCCCCCCCATTCAGCAGATCCGCGAGTGGTACACACGGCGCTGCAGT